AAATAAATATTTTATTTGTTTTCTTAGTTTAGGATTAGTATAGAAAATATACAAACCATATCTTTTGATTTCATTACACTTCAAATTTAATAGTAGCCATTAAACTAAAAATTAGACATTATTCCTCATAGGAACGATACTCTTAACTCACAAATCTTATTACTTGTACAACGATCTCGTACGCTTGCGGGTTTTCATGCGAACATGCATGTATCTAGTGATCAAATATCCAAGCTTGATCCGAAATCAAGAAAACGTACTTTTGTGAGCTATGTGAAAGGTGTAAAAGGGTATAAGTTCTAGGATCCAGAGGCAAAGAAGATGGTGATCAGTAAAGATGCAATCTTTGATGAAGCATTCATGCTCAAAAAGCCTTCGGATGAAGATAAGCTCAGATCAGGCGAGGGCAACAACAAAAGCCAAGTAGTGCAGGTAGAGCTAGACAATGTTGACATGGAGATTAATGCTCAGGGAGTGAACAGTTCTGGCTCAGAAGAGGAACAGTATTATAGTATTGCCACGATAGACCACGTCGCACTATCAAGACATTGGTGAAGTATGGATTCGAGCATTCAGTTTCTTATGCACTTATTACCAGCAATAGCGATCTTATAACTTTTCAGGATGCCATTGGTAGTCAGGAGAAAGTAAATGGATAGAGGCTATGACGGAGGAAATTGAGTCATTGCATAAAAATGATACTTAGAATCTGGTGGAGCTTCCAGAGGGGAAGAAACCAATAGGATGTAAATGCGTGTACAGAAAGAAAGAAGCAATATCAGAAAAGGAAGGAAAAAGATATAAAGCTCAGTTAGTAGCTAAGGGATGCTCACAGAGGAAGGGAATAGCTTATGATGAGATTTTCTCTCCTATTGTCAGACATACTTCCATGATGATTGTCTTGGCAATGGTGGCTAGTTTTGATTTGGAGCTAGAGTAGCTGGATGTGAAGACCGCTTTTCTTCATAGTGATTTAGAGGAGCTGATTTTCATGGAACAACCAGAGAGGTTCTTAGAACCCCAGAACAGAGAATCTTGTGTGTAAACTAAAGAAGTCTTTATATAGACTTAAGCAGTCTCCACGACAATGGTACAAGAAGTTCAACTCCCATATGATTCAAATTGGCTACATTCGCTGTGAGTATGATTGTTCTGTTTACTACAGAGTTCTTGAGGATAATTCATACATTTTCTTAATGTTGTATGTGGATGACATGTTAATTGCTGCCAAGAATATGAATGAGGTAGACAAATTAAAGTCTTTGTTGAGCAGTAAGTTTGACATGAAAGATTTGGGACCGGCTAAGAAGATTCTTGGCATGGAGATTAACAAAGATAAGAAGGCTAGTAAATTATGGGTATCTCAGAAAAATTATTTGACGAAAGTATTGAAGAGGTTTAGCATGTCCGATGAAAAACAAATGGGTACACCATTGGCAAATCACTTCAAATTGTCTAGTAATCAGTGCCCTAAGAATAAAGAAGAAATTGTAGAGATGTCAAAGGCGCCTTATGTCAATGCAGTGAGATGTTTGATGTATGCAATGTTGTGTACTAGACTAGATTTAGCACATGCAGTATGGTGAGCAAAAAAATGACTAGTCCCGGCAGAGAGCATTGGAGAGTTGTAAAGTGGATTTTCAGGTACTTAAGAGGTACAATGGAGTGTGAGATCATGATTAAGAGACATCATGATGATGATTCGGTTCAAAGATACGTAGATGCAGATTATGCAGGAAACTTGGATGACAGAAGGTCCCATACAGGTTATGTTTTCACACTTGCAGGTGGGCTATATGTTGTAGATCAATGGTGCATTCACTTGTAACATTATCCACAACTGAAGCAGAGTACATGGCAGCAACTGAGGTAGCCAAGGAATCATTGTCGCTAAGAGGGCTTGTCCAAAAGCTTGGGATCAAGCAAGATGGAATAAAGTTGTGTTGTGATAGTCAGAGCGCCGTCTTCTTAGCAAAAAATCAGATTTATCATGCAAGAACCAAGCACATTGATGTGAGATTTCACAAGATAAAAGGGTTGGTTATTTCAGGAGGATTATTGCTAGAGAAGATGCATACCTCAGAAAATGCAACGGATCAAGCATTGCTTGAACTTGACAAAGTCAATCACAATAGATAGGTCCAAGCATTGCTTGAACTTGATTAACATCTCTAGGTGTTAGAGATCACAACATATTAGTCCCAGATGGTGTGTTTTTCTCAGTTTATGTTTGCTTAGTGTTTTCTCCTAACGGGTGAATATTCGCCAAAGTGGAGATTGTTGTATATGTGACTCATATAGGGTGGAACACAAGTTTACTGGATCAAAATGGCCAATGCCGAAAAGGAGCGAAGTGGAGTGGGTTTGGACTAGGTTTAGTATAAATACTAATAAAAATCGACGCTTCGCTCCCTATGTCGATTTCTCTATTTCATTTCTCTATTATTTTGCGCTTAAAATCCAACAATAACTTTTACAAAACCTCCATCTGTTCCAATGTACACGTGTGCAACTTCACCATCAGCATTCATAAAGGACTAAAACTGAATAAAAAAAAGATGGATCCCAAAAGCTCACTTGATTGAAAAGCTCGCGCTTCTCGTCATCATCGACGCCAGGCACGGGCCAATGTTCGAACAAATGGTTCTGGCCCATTTCCAGTAGCATCTTCGCCAGCTCCACCTATACATACACATTCAATTGAATTTAAATTTCAATAACAGTAATTCAACTCTGTATTTGCATACTATATGATTTGTACGCACCTGTTCGGGAGAGAGGGCAGATAGGTTCTTGAGGAGGTTGGGAGCGGCGGCAGCCCAATCATCGCCGCCGTCGATGTGAAGTTTTGACTGGCTGTCGGCGTTTGATCCAACGGTTGATGATCGATATGAGTGTCAATAGTAACCGGAAGAAACGGTGGAAAAGAGGAATCTCTTCATTTGCTCCAAAATGGATTTTCTTACCAAAGAAAATGAAAATAATTGTTTTAATGCATAAAAATTTAAAATTAAAGCGAACAATTAATTTTAATTACTAATTTCATCGTATTCACAATTTTTATCAATTGTAAACCTTATATTTTATCAAAAAAATTTATGAAAATCTACTAAAATCAACACAATTGTTTTTTGTTAGATCTCTAACTTGTACCATGATGTGACTCGTTATATGGAACACATGTCAAATGTTCGTAAAATAATTTTTTATTCGAAAATCGATGTAGTTATGTATAAAATTTTGAAAGTCAAGAAGCCCTATTTCACGAACGGGTTAATTTTGGAATGAATCGACTAGAATCCTTTCCAGTATGAACTCGGCACCTTCGATTGATCTGGAACCGCCCTTGCTTGTAGCTTCATTGTGCTTTGGTTTTCTCCAATTGATCGCCTCTATCTCTATTCTAGAGGAGGTCACTTTGATTCAGTATACCTGTGGTGGCTCCTTTCACCTAGAGTCGTTTAGAATGAAAACAAAGTTCACTCAACCCTACTTATTCTATGACTAAACTCATTGGCTGTTCACGGAACTCCAAATCCCCCCCCCCCCCCCCCCCCCCCCCNCCCCCCCCCCCCCCCCCCCCCCCCCCCCCCCCCCCCCCCCCCCCCCCCCAAACAGTTCTTTGATCTAAATTTCAAGTATATGCAATTCGTTTAGATTCAGCCCACAGTTTTTTATATTTTTTATATATTGATTTGATCTTCTAATCCTTCACACTTTATACTTCAGATTATTGCCGACTCAATTTTTAAGGATGTTTACTTTTCCACGTAAAAGAGGAAAAAGTTTGAAAAAAAATAAATAAAAGAGTGGGACATTGATATTGGCGTCGATACAAAGCCATATTCTGTTGTCTTTCTTTTTGTACAAGGAACCACAAAAGGTTTTGTCCGGGGAATATGCCATTCCCAATTAGATTTCTGCATCACATTTTGTAGTCAATTAATGAGGAAGATTGCCTAATTACATGTGATTTGAATCAATAGTTAGCTGAAAATTAGCTGCTTAGTTGCATCCTTAGTAAGGTATAGCTGTCATGTGTCGTCATTCGTTAATCATATTTAGTTTTTAGTTTATCGAAACTACATATCTTGTTATTAAGTAGTAACTTAGTGATACTTGTAACAATTCAGTCCATTTAGTATGATATTGTTCACTTCTTATCTAGCATATACAGGTTTGTTATAGAGTTTTCACCCTAAAAACCTTTTCTTTTTATACACACGTCAACACATGCTCAGCATGTTTTTAAGTTCCACCAAGAAAGGCTGATAAGGGTTTAAATTCTCCGATTGTGTACAAAATCAAATTCACAGGAACAAAAGGAAGAGAGAGAGAAATCTAACCTTCCAAAAGCAAAACAATGCAACATATGAAAGCCTGAAATAAATAAGGAAGTACTACTTCCTACACACACAAAAGAAAGAGAAAAAGAAAAAAGAAGAAGCAAACTAACGTCATCTAATACTAAAACGTCCATGTCTAAGGTCCTCCACCCCTAGTGATACAGTGAACGGCCACATAATAGTCTACTTCTTTCCAGATCTGATAACCCAAGTCATCAAGCAAGTAAAATCACATCCAAAATAGCTCGTAAGTCATAACTCAATCTCCAAAATAAGACAATCTCCATATAATGACGAGAAAACCCTAATGCAGTGTCCATCCCGATCACGAATAATACCCCCATCACTAGTAAAATCATCATTGATGCATTCATCAGTTTAATCTTGTAAGATCCAACAGATGGATTACGTCATAGAACTAATTAATATAGGGGGTGCTGGGGGAGGAAGAGAGAAATGCCAAAAAGGGAAGAGATAGTCAAGTCCCCCACATCAATGAACAGACCAACATAAACGATCCATGTGGAGAAGTGAAATTATGCGATAAATTCATCAAATGATCCGTCTAGGCTCGTGTATCTCCTTATGCGTCGCATCATTCCTCTCCATCCATAAGAATCAAAATATCAACAGAAGAATAATAATATGAATGTGTTCCTTCTGGACCCGAGTAACTCTATCTGGAATTGAGATTTAACAACCTCACTTTATCTCATAGGTACCTAAAAAAATATTTCCGAATTTACAAAAATCAATTTCAAAAATTTTTGATTGACTTCTAAAAATATTACATTACAGTATGCATTACATATAAATTTACAAAACAAGTAAAAAAAATTTTAAAAATTTATATTTTTACTAGCTTTTTAGCTATAAAATGACAACTTTTAATTTCTTAATATATATTGATAAATAAATTTTTTTAGCTAAAATAAATTTAATTCCTTATAATTTATATTTTTACTAGCTTTTTAGATATAAAATGACAACTTTTAATTTCTTAATATATATTGATAAATAAATTTTTTTAGCTAAAATAAATTTAATTCATAATAAAAAAAAAAAAAAATTGATATGAAGATTGTGGTTTGCAAATTTGTGTAGAAGGCTCTCGAAAAAACGTCTTTGCACTGTAACCGAAAGCTTATTTTGTATGGGTGGAAACAATATCACACATCTAATAATCCATTTTACATAAAGACGAACTTATGTTCTCCAATGATAGTTTTACTTGTGAGCTAATTTTCAACTCAAGGACTTGTTTTTCATGTTGAATCAGTGTCTAACGAGCATTCAAACCATGGAAGGACCCACGCCTCGCAGTGGAGCAAATAGTATAGATTTGGCTTTCTTGCTATTCTGTATACTACTTTCTAGGTTTTCTTTAGTTTTTTAGATTCAGCAGTGAAAATATTTTAGGCTTGTGAAGGGACTTGTACACACCTCGAGGATAAAGATACATAAAAACAAATGCTTTTTGTAACACATTCAATTAAAAAAAAAGAGATTTTTTCTTTTCCGATTCGCTTTTTTTTTTCCTTGTCTTTGTTTATGTCTCGTGTTGGAACAAATTACTATAATGCGCCCCTGCCTACAAAATGTATGTTATGCTTAATATCTTTAGTTTGATCTGTATTTGTCTTAATAATTGTGTTGAGTATTGTCCAACAAATTGTTTATCAATGACTCAAGAAACAATTTCAGTCTTGCTTTGCTGCTCTTTTTTTTTTATCATTACAATATCTTTCTCTCAACTTCTGTGATTTCGAAGTTGAGCTTCTTATGCTGGTGTATCGATTATCTTACCTCTATTCGCTACTGTACATCTTGGATTTGGCCATCGTTGTAGTTAAATCCAATGCGCGGTTTTCCCATGCTGAAGTTCAACATCCTTGCATTCATGTTGTATTGGATTTCTCCTTCATAAAGAAGCTTCCTGATGTAGTGTTCTATATCAGAACCAATCAATCGAAGTGTATATTCAGTCAATGGGGCTCCCTGGCTCCATTACAACATCCCTATGTTAACAACTGGTATGTTATCACTTAATACTAATGTGAAAAGACGAGTTAGTTTTATACCTCATAATGATCCACAAGTTCTTGAAAATAGGAGTAAACTTTGTTGCAGGTTTCATCTGTCCACACAAACTCATCAGTAGGGTCAAGGATAAGAGTGAGTTTATCCATCTGTGTTTGGTCGAATTCGCATGTTTCAGGGTCAATATAGGCTGCATAAATCCTAACATGTCTGGTGGCACTGCTCAGCCACTGTCCACCATATTCTCTGCCCATATTTTTGCTCTTCACATTCACCTGTGGTTCGACTGGCCTTAGGGGTGTCGTTGCCTGCTGCTTCATGTCCTTCTCTTGTGGTGTTGCTTCGGTTTGTACTTGTTCTTCAACTTCTGCTTGCTGAGATGAAACTGAAAATACACTTTTCTTTCTCACTTCCCTTTTGCTACCTCTCCATCCCAGCATGGAGAAGGTAGTTGAAGCCATATAGGTTGAAGTTGCTGCCATGGCTTGTTAATGATGTTATAGTTTCTTCACAATTTTGCACTTTCTGGGTTTTCCAAAGCTTGGATGAATGAAAGGCTAATGTTTCACATCAACAATTGTGGATAAAGAACTCCTTTCTGAACACTCTTTTACCTCACATTCCGACTTTTTTTTTCTTTTTTTTTTTTTCCTTTTTCGCAATGATGGTGAAATGTGTGGTAGCATTTACTTTAAGGTGGGTGGGAAGAAGATGGGGTATAATCAAAAGAATACAAGGAAATTGTCCTCGTACACCAATTTTAAGTTACTTATTTTTACTTTTTTAAGTAATGAGAAATTACATTTTTTTTTTTTTAAATAACTGTCATTGTCATCTAAAAAGTTAATTGTTCTCTAATTTATACCTTAACTTTTTAAGCTACTACAGTCTTATCTCGTGTACTTGGATACATATCAAATAGATCTCTGCTAGCAATATAGAAATCCAGCCAAACATTCCAAAAATTTAGAAAATAAAGCTACAAAATTTCCAATTTCCTCAACTTGTTCTTACAAATCTTAGTAAAACAATGTTTGCCTAAACCTATGACCTATCAAACAATATGTATTGCTTTTACATCAATAAATCACAACAAAACTGCAACAACAAAAGGTTCCTATACAGATGCATTGCCTTGTTCATCGTTTGAGCTGTCGATAAGACTTCTGTTCATGATACGGATAGGTTTTATCAGCTCATCTAGATCAATCACCTCTGCCTCCAAAGGGTAATCAACCCGTACTCGTTTGCTTGATGGGCCAATACTGTTTTCCACTTCTTCATTGCCAACATCTAGACTAATATAGTCTTCGAGCTTTTCTTCTTGACAAACTATGTTATCATTACCTTTCACTGGGAGCCTCTCGATTATGGCTGTTTGGCTTTCTGCAATATGAAACGGCTTAGAATCAAAGTATCGCCCTCGGATATTCTTCTGCTCAGACAAAGATTTCCTTTTGATTCCCCTCTTCCTTTTAGGATGGTGAAGCTTGCATTTAGAACCTTCAGGACAGATGCCCGTTGCTTCAAAAGCAGGACAGACATAGGTGTGTTTCTTCCGGCACTGCAAGTACAGAGATATGATCCATTCACAGGATTTAAGATTAGTGGTAGTGTGCATGTGGGTGTTGATAATTATAAACCAGAAAACACTAGCTGCTGGTATTACTTCAGGGGAAAAAGAAAGCCCCCTCACCCAGGAGTTGTGTCATCCAACTCAGCATTTTTTTCCTTTTTCCTTCTTTCAGGAAAAATATAAATATCTATACAAGATCATTCTAGCAAAGAAATTAGTGATTTCAATGTGTACTTTTCGAGTATCAGCAAGTTCAGAGATATGATCTTGGTGTTTGGCATGCACGCACTGGAAAGTATAGCGAACAAGGTTTTAACTTTTCAGTCTTTCCTTTAATACCCTCGACCGATACCCAATCCTCCTTACCAAAAACGCAAGTGATCAAATAATGAGCTTGTGTGCGAGTTCGTGTAAGCAATGATTAAATCAGATACCAAACATGACAGTGCGCAAGGGATAAGATTGTGTGTGAGTGCATTTAGAATTGATTAAAACCAGATACTGGAAGCTGCAACACCCTATGAAGGACAGCAACCACCCCCCAACTTTACCCATTTCAACGATCCACCACAGCAGGTCAAAGATCTAAACTTCAAGAGAATATTAGAGGCAAAAATAAGCAATACCTCATTGCCATCAGCACAATAGCCTTTGAGAAAACTTTCACAAATAGAGGAATTTGGATTCACATTTACATGTCTATAAGGACAACTTTTATTAGAGCATAACCCTGTTAAAAAAATTAAGTTAGCCTTCTGACCTTTGAGAACTAATTTAACAAATCCATAAAAGAAATATATAATATAAAATAGAAATAAAAAATCACCACACACCTTGCAGAAAATATGAACAATCCTGCATTCTCTCCGGAATGACCTGTATGATATATTGAGTAAAGAAAAAAAATGCAAAAGAGGCGTAAAAAGACTGTAACCAGTGTCATACTGAACAGGAATCACATCATACCTTGTGTGTCAATTTGCATTCAGGATTCAAGCACGAGCCCTTCAGAAATTTCGTGCAGACTACGACTTTTGAGGGATCATGGATGTAAGGACACTTCCCATCATCTTTACTGCATTTCCCAAATCTTGTAAAAAACTGGCAGTATTTTCTCTTTCTGGTCAATCGCAATCTGGCAGTGTGCAAACTCCAACGAACTTTCTCGCTTGCGAGGATACGGGTTCGTTTCTTGGGGTCTCTAACCAGTTGGTTGCCGTTTCCAATTCGCACATATCTACGCAGTATAAGGCACGTATCATAAACCAGTTTCTTAAAGACATACAAGCTTATTCTCTTCTTAGTTTTCGACTTTCTAAAATTGTAAGTTCCAATGAGAATTTAAGTGTAAGAGAACTTACTCCTCATTTCCAATTAACAATCTCCTGGGAATATAAGTTCTAATTTTCTTTTCAGATTCGAGAGCAACTGAGTTTGAGGGTTCTTCGTCTGCAGCATAAACATGATCAAGAATTAATAGGAGCACTAAATTTCATATATGTCAATACATGCTCAGCTATAACCCTCTAAATTCAAGCCTTGCACAGAGCACTGCTAAGTTGTATACTCTGCATCCATTCGCCGTATCAACTATCAATCACCGTCACAACTTTTCTATGCCACTTCATTAAGAAAAACCAACTGTATTTCCGCAGAGCGTGGGGTGCATGGCATTCAATTGCATGGATGCTTCCACCTTGAGGCACAAATCAGTTACACAAAGAAAGTACAATATACGAATATCCATGCGAGACGAGAGACATGCCCATTCTCTAAATATTTTTCTTATCCAAGGATCAATGACACATTGGTTGTAAGTACAACTCTTGATTCTAGCATCGAACCGAACGGAGTGACGAAAAAGTATTCATTTAGACAACTCCAAATTTATTGGAAGAAAGGCTTCATTTGTTTTTGTTAAATAGATTGGGGGAAGAGTAAACGACAATGTAAGAATTAACAAACTTTTGAGTTTAATTATACAAAGCTTCAGCATCCGAATGCCGAATATGTTCAACTGATAAATTCAACAAACACCATATCTACTATAAGCAATCAATCAATAGCAACAAAAAAATCTTATGCAACAAATCGAATGAATTATACTAGTAAAACTAAATAAACGATAATCTAGGAAGTAGAAAGTGAATGTGACACCAAAATCAGGAAAAATTATGTAAACGAATCAAAATCTACTCATTCTAGAAGTAAATAATAACAATGCTATTTTAATGGTGACGTTTAAGTAAGAATGAAACAGGATGACATGGAAAGTGAATCAAAATGGAAAATCGCAACACACCACCTGTAATCCTCTGAAGTGTTTTCCTTGTCGAATCCATTTTGTATCGCTCCGAACCAATACGAAATATCCGTTCTCCTGTTATTTGAATATATATTAAATTTCGTATACACTCCAATACAGAATATATGCTGGCCAACCCTCGTTAACACCCATATTCATGCTAAATATACAAATGATATCTAAAACTTCATTTTCCTCAGAATGTAAAAGTGAATGTGTTAATTGGATAAGAGAATGCCACACCAGGATTGCAGGCTGGCGTACCTGGACGCAGCTTTACACTAAGAACTGACTTACGCGAAACATGATTTTTGTTCTTCAAAACAATGGGAATAGCAACAGTCTGTTCTTTCTTCCTCTTCTCTACTGCAGCAACTGCTCGTGTAGCTTCCTGTAGAGGTATAAATAATATTATCGCTTGCATTTATTCAGCTTTCCACTTGCAAAATATTGAAGTTCTCAGTCCATGAGCAACTATACTCAGCAAACCTCATTAGCTTTCTTAGAGTTCCTCTCAATTGACTTTGACCATTTCAAACTAGAGCCACCAACACTCAACACTTTGGAAATCCTAAGAGAAAATCCACGAGTTGATCTTGTATAGATTGCACCTCTCTTCCTTGATAGCAGTAGCTTCCGGCTACGCCAGCAAAAAGGGAAAATAACATGGCCACGCATCATTGGTTTCACCCCGAAAAGAAACATAAATAATAAATCCTTGAGGATTAGAAAGAGCTGATTGTATACCTGATCATGGATAGGGAACCATCATTTGGCGTTGAACGAGAATTATATATAAAATTTCTCCAGTAAGTAGCTCTTTTCCATGGAAATAGGTATGGCCGCACTTTCTGAAATCGTACTGAGTTGTTATGTTTTCCTGATAATTGTGTATCAGGCAATTTCCACACCAATGAGAATTTAGAAGCTTTACGCGTCTTTGCAAAACCTGAAAATTTTATTCCAGTTATATCTTGTTCACATAGTGATCACCTTTAAATTTACAACACCGTTGTTTTATGGAACAAATTCTACAAATAACCCGAAAGAGAAAATAATGATGTTACTACTTGAGGACAGGATGCAAGGACAGGAAATGCAGTTACAACATAGAAGGTATTGATTCAATAACGACACTGTAAACATAATGATGCAGCAGAAGACAGTAATGGGTACCCCGTGACGTATAATAAGATACATCACGCTACCAAAATCGATGATGGCCATTCATTTCACAAGCCAACCTCAAGTCCAAAGCTTCTAGAACAAAAGAATATCAATGGCCAATTTTCCTGGAAGCTGTGTGGAAATTATATGGAGAAATCGGACTGCTCAAGCTTCAGAAGCCGACTTTTGATGCAGAGAACTGAAGGGTTTACAAGCTATTGCAAAGTTGAGCTCTTTTGGCTTATCAGTGTCAGGACAGGGTCAAAAGGAACGCAGAAGGAACTTTGAGAGAAAAGGACACAAGGTGCTGGAATGAAATAGACAAAAGGGGTTTGGGTGCATGATGGCAATATTTGTTCATAGATAGCCCACTACATACCTCTCATGCAGAAAAAATAACCAATCACAGAAGAAATATCTCTTTTCCGTTGTTTGATTTTCTATGTTCTTTGTAGGTGATTTCTAAGACATCAAGTAAGATTAGTAGTCTACACAAGCAAAAATGCAATAAGCAATAACAATCATGCCCCATTCAATCATTAATCGATCAACTGTCCAAAAGTGGCCAGTAAGACAACAGTATAGAGCAACAGAATGCATATTATTGCTAGTTCGAGCATAAGCAAGATATTATGAACTTAAATAAACAAAATTCACCGAGAGAGTTAACTGCCGCTTGCTAGCACTTTTACCTGGATTGGTCCTTCTATTTTGAGACCTGTTAGAATCAAAATTTGCATCTGCAAAGGCACCCTCCTTCTCATGATTTTCCAATGACGCTCTGACAAGCTGATTTTTCCTCCTCTTGTAGTAGCTATCGGATGATGATGCTTGGGTGGTCTTATCTACACACCAAATAGATGGATCTTCAGAATCAGAAGCTGCAACCAATTGATATGATCTCCGTTTCACATATGTTATCTTCTTCCTCGAATTCCCTTCATCAAGTGGACTCGGGCTATCTGAGTAATTACCAGAACCAGTTCGGCATTCAGGAACCGCAGAAGATTTTATAATTTCCTCCAATGGATCCAAGGTTGTAGCAAGGCCGAGAGGATTTGCCACTGGCAATGATCTAGATTCTCCCAAGTTAAGAGCAGTGCAGTTCAATGATTCCTCACTAAATAAGGAAGATGTTTCAGGCCTTTCAGGAGTCTTTACTCCTGTTCTACAAAGACTTGGTGGTTCAATAGCATCAATCTTGTTCTCGGATGCTTGGTTCATCAAATTATCTTCGCTTGAAGGACTCAATCGATAAACTGAGAAACTCGAAGCATTAAATCCATGTGAAATATCAGATGGAGACGGCTTCCTGACAAGGCTATTACCCTTACGAATATACGAACTCGGAACATTTCCCACTGTCTTGTGCACTTGACTCTGAGGAAGAGGACAGGATTGTAACTTCGGTTTTGGGACCACAACGGAGGAGTTACCAGTTCGATGCCATGTTCTTGATTTTGTAACATGGGCTGAAGGGATTGCACTCTTTAAAGTGTTAAAACTTAAGGCAGGATGACCGGGAAAAACCCTAGGGACAGCAGAAGTAGGTTGGTTCTTACTCAAGTTTGATATACCAAGTATAAATTTTGAATTCTGCTTTACTTTAGTGTTCTCCTGAGGTAAAGAAGGTGATGTCTGAGGATTAGTTTCTAAATTATCTGATAAAGATGCCTTATTTGGTGATGTCCTGAGCAAAACTGATGCAGGATAAGCAGCAGATGCAACATTCTCCAAAGATGTATCTTTCCCGCACACCTTTTCATCTGTTAATTGGCTGGTTGATGCTTGGGAATTTTTTAACAAACATGAGTCTGGGTTAAAAAGCAAATCTTCAGTATAATTCACACTGGATGGCATATCCGGGCCAGAGTCCATCAATTCTTCCCCAGAGCTGGTCACAGAGAGATCATTTCCATCAGCGCATAACGATGAGTTGTTTGGAACAGACACCAAATCATCCTTCACAAGCAGATAATTTTCATTTCTATTATCACCATCTCCCACTGTCTTGTTCATAGCTGGAGCATCAAATATTTCCCGACTAATTGCAGCTTCCATATCTGCAGTGTCATGTTGATGGGTGGCTGCTGATGCGACTATTGGAATATCCTCTTTATGATCAACTCCCTTTTCAGGTAGGCTGGGAGAATTGCAGTCGATTTTTGAACAATCCATCGTAGGGTCACCTTCAATTGAATCGGTAAGAAATGATTTTTCTCCCACACTGATGTCAAATGGTGTGTCAGTCTGAGTCAAGCAAGGTGATAAGCAAACAGATGAACTGTCATGAATCGCAGATGGCTTAACTAGGTATTCTGATTGTATAGTACCCTTGCCACTTGAAGGAGCTCCCACCACTAGTGAAGCTGTATCAGCAGCTTCAGGTCCTCCATACACTTCAGAAAGTGAAGTGCAAGACAATATTGGGGAGACGACTTTCCTCTTACTGTAGTCAGGGAATGAGCCATTCGCAACAAGATCAAGACCGTATTGGACCAAAAGTTTGACTTCAGACGGTCCTTCAATTGATTGGTTTCCATCCCTGATGTTGTCCCTTTGAGAAGGGATGTCAACTTCTACTGCAGAAATAATATCCTCCACCAAATGTCCCATTTCTTCATGACCTACAGAGCTATCTACATCAACAGGCATCTTAGTTGTCTTCAGAGCAGAAAGACCAATTTGAGCATCCCTAGTATTAATCTTCCTGTTGGTCTTGGGTGAATGATCAATACTTGAGGAAGCAAGAGGGCCATTTTCAAGTGATATTGTAGGGCCATACTTACATGACTTCCTACCAATGATATCTCCATGAAAAATGTCAGATACAGCTGTGTTCCCCGGACAATCTATAGAAAGAAAATTAGTACCACTGGCAGTACCTGAACTAAAATTTAATGGACCAAGAACTCCATCTTGGGGCACAACATCATGGTTTGAAATGGAATCCTTGGAACCAGAATCCATAAAGCTCGCATGACAACTAGTAACCTTCTCTGTCCTTTGGCACAATTCACTGTCAGGCTCAGAAGCACTAAATATGTCGTGGATTTTTGAAGCATATGCATCTCCCTGAACCTCGTGAATCCTGGTTTCCTCGGGTCTTATCAAGTCAGAAATATCACGATCTTCAATTGAAACTGTAACCTTAGAAGGTCCTCCCATAGGACTGTTGTCTGATGATATTAGTGCATCCTGAAAAGGCTGCTCACTATCATCATCTACCATTTGAGTGCCAGAAATGGTAAATTGATTATGAGAGTCAATAGCACACGTCTCCATATTCAATACAGAATGAACTAATCTGTCCAAGTTATCGGCATGCTCACTGGAGCCCAATCTGTCGGCATGAATATCATTCTCACAAATGACCATTCCATCTGCAGGACTTGCATCCTCATTAATTCCCATTCTAAAAGCATGATCAGTGTCCTTGGCAACCAATAATCGCTCTGCATGATCCATGTACTCAGTAGTTACATCATCAGCCAGACAAGATGTAGCAGAAAACATATTCAAGCTGCTTTTCTTTGTCTTTGAATTAGGTATAAAGTGATTACTAGAATCAATGTCAGTGCCATCTTTCTTTGAAACCATACATTCTAACTTTTCCTCGGCTTCGCTAATATTTACTTCATTTGAAGAAGCCGGCAAAACAATATCAGGCTCCATGCCGGAACCAGCAGAAGTGATATTCCCCTCTGAATTTGTAGCATCCTCATCTAGCAGTGAAGATGCAGATGGACTATTACCACAAGTATTCGCATTAATGATCTCAACAGTATCCTTTGTCAACTGTGGACTAGATTCAGATACAATCTGCATATTTAGTTTCCTCTTTTTTCTCACTCTGTGGATAGGTGTTCTATCAGAACCATCGCTATTGCCATTCTGATTGAAATCCATAGCTTTCAGAGATCCCTTGTTGGCAGCATTGTCTCCCAAATAGGTGGGATTATTATCATTTGCACTTCCACTCCCAGATATGGCAACCTTTTCTTCTGACCCTTTTGGGGCTTTATTGGGATCAGATTGAAAATCTAACTTGCATGAGGAGATTGCACTCAATTTGGTCAATGGTGAACCAGATATACTATTGGCTTTCCTAATATTCCTATTCCTAGGCGTTAAATTCCTATCTGACTCAAGAGCTGGACTCGACGACGCGACAATAGCCTTAGCCACAAGTGCATTCGACTTAAACGAAACATCAAGCTCCACTGGACTCCTCTCTGTCTCCTTCTCCCTCTCTCTCTCCCTCTCTCTTTCCTCCTCCATTTTCCTTTGTGACGGCACAAAACTCTCTTTTTCCTTCCCCCTAGAACTACTACTACTCAGCTCTTTCGGAAAGTGATGATGCTCATGGACTCCTCTATTCCTATTGCTAGACTTTCCTAATTGAATCCTAAGTAAAGCACTCTTTTTCTGCATCTGCTTCTTAGGCGACCTAATAAACTCTTGTACACTTCCCCCTCTTCCCAACCTACCCCTAAATCTAGCCAAAGAATGACCCTTCGCAGATTCCTGATTTAACAAAACCCTATCATTGACATTATAATCCCATCTCCTGTCATCTCCATCCCTCACACTGTAGGACTCATGACCCCTTAATGGGTCTGTACTAAAATCTCTCTCTGATCGCGATCCAAATCGCTTTGGATATCTCTCACTATCTTTCCTATCAAAATCAAAATCAATTATTTTTCTCCCATCTCGGGGGAAACCTCGGTCCCAAATAACAGGCATATCATTTTTATTATCTCTATACCTCTTCCTGATATTATCAACAAAAAACTCATCTTTGAACATAGGGTTTTGGTCTTCACAATTATCAATGGACCGAAAGTGAAAGTTTTCGCGGACCAGAGGAGGAGGTGGAGGGGGTTGTAGCTCAGTCCATCCCCCATGGGGTAGGAGTGGAGGTAGCTGATGATGGGGTGGCGGTGAGCAAGGCCGATCGAATTCGTAACGATTAGATCTTTCTTCAATGGAACGGGGTCCACAGGGATGAGGGTCGGATAGAGTGAAGTGAGCGGGAGGGGGTGGAGGAAGAGGGCTGTATGGGATGTGACGTGGTGGTATCGGAGGGAGAAGATGATGTGGCGGAGGAGGTGGAGGACGAGACAGCGGCGGTGTCAGTGGTGGAACATGGCGTTGGTGAAAAGGCGGCGGCGTGAAAGTCGGGATGTGGATGACGTTTGCGTACCTAGAATTGTGATGGTGGTGGTGGCGGCGGAACGGCGGCGGATCCATTGTATGCGGCGGCTGATGGCGGAGGATTGTTTTATTTGTATGCAGTAAGTCGGATTTTTTTTGGGTCAAACCTTTTCCATCTAAAGGAGGCCGGTTGCGCCTTAAATAAGGATTTTTTTTTCCCCCTTTAAATTATTAGTTTAATATTTTGTGCTCCAAAAATGAGAATCTATGAATATTCCACACGTCTCATAATAATAATGATAATAATAATTCATGATAATTGTAAATATGTGATTTATTTATATAAGTTAAAAATATTGTTAGTTGATTTTTCAAACTAGGGACTAAAGTTTCAATTTTTTTGTAATTGAAAATGATGTGCGGAGTGCAATGTTCTAAAAAGCGTAAAGCGTGACTAGGCGTGAAGGCCAAGTTTCAAGCTTCACGAGCCTAGGCGGGCTAGGCGAAGCTTAGGCGTAAAAAAGCGTTTTTTTATTTTAAATTTTTAATCATTATAAAAAAATTCAACAATTCAAATAATACATACAAAACATCTAAAATTATAAAATATTGCATTTATTCAATAATTCCTTTATAAAGTAGCTTGAAATTTAGATGTTGTTGAGGAATCATCTTCTTCCATTGGTTTCTAGGAAAAAGAAAAAAGAAAAACAATGCAAACGTTTATTATTTACAAAATCCAGACCCAAAAAGCATATGAACGTGAAAACAAATGAATATTTAGTTACATAAACAGTTAAGCACTAATTGGGCCTCACGTCAAGGGCTAAAAGGTATTCTTGATTAAATTTCCAGATTTTTCTACGGGAGTTATTCCACAATCAGTTTGAAATCATTGCCATGCATCAGATTTATGAGGGCTACAAATTACAATTGACTCTCTCGAAGTTTGAAACTGATATGTCATATGTATATACAAAATAAAAATTCACAACAAATGATTTTCGATTAATTACAGAAGCTCGGATTACAGTTTCAAACGACTTCTTAATTGCAGAAGCCCAGATTACGTTTGCCCGTTTTCACTATTGAATCATTGATAAATGCAAAACACTTCTATTTTGAGTTGTATAACTTCACTAATTGATAATAATCTTAATTGAAGTGTGTTATATTTAAAAAGGGAGGAAATTTTGGGCCTCCAAGGCGAAAGCGCGCTAGCCGCATAGGGCCCCTAGGCGCTCCACGCCTAGGAGCGCTCTAAGCGGTCAACGAGCGGTCAACATTGTCGTTGACAGCTTAATTACCGCTTAGTCTCAAAGCGAGGCGTTTTCATCAAGTTTCTCGCCTAGGCGAGCTTTTTAGAGCAGAGGTGGAGTGTTAACAGAATTGATGACGGTTTCCTAAAATCCTTTCACTCACTAAGTTGTCGTTCATCTCCACCTTAACAAATAGGCTTTTAAATATAGTCTTTTCAAATATTCAAATTTTAGTTGGTGGAAGTGCATTTACGATTGCACCGTTATATTTTTTATCCATTTCGATCGGGAACCACATTTTCCGATTGGCTGACCCCACCCCTATTTATCAACAGGACTATATGACACATGATGGGACGAAATCATCCCATTGTCATCCTCGTTCAGATGCAGAAGTAATCTCCCGATACAATTTTATCGAGTAATAATATTTAGCGATACTATTTACATATAAGTCCTTATCGATCAATTATAACTGTTGAACAAAAATATATAAGTTACAAAGAAACTAAATGGAATGCATAATATAATGAATGCCAATTAGGAATTCACTTCTTCAATGAGAATTCTCAAGATAAATCAAGTATAGTAGAAACAATGAATATGCTAAGGAATGAATAAAAAAAGTTAAATTAATATCGTGTCGTTGGAATAAAAGAATTAATCATATACATATACAACACATGCTCGAGATCTTTCCGTCGGTCGTAAGAATATGTTATGACAAAAATTTGTTAATTTTAAGGTTTGTTCTAAAAGGTCGAGTCCTTATAAAAGAAGGAAACTAAAATTAGAGAAGGCAAGACATATTAATCAAGCTACCCCACAATCCTTATTTTAAAAAAATAAATAAATAAAGCGAGGCAAGTCCTAGCAATTTGAACTCTTTGGTCGTGATTAGTCCTATTTTGAGATTTACTTAAATCTTAAAATTGACAAATTCCAAAATTACAAAAGATAATTATTAAATTGTTGTCACATCTTCCTTGGTGACAAATTTTCGTAATACAACAAGAAACTTGATCAACATTTTACACTTATGGGATGTACATATAATTTTCTATCAACCAAAATAGGTCAAATATTTTTCATATTGAAATTGATCAAATGTTATGGCTACAAAGGGGAGGAGGAGGGCACACCCACAAACAACCTCTCATCCATGCCCATCAACTCAGAAAAACAAATTTACAAAGGAATCACACAAACAGAATTTTGCTTATGTAAGAAATTTGGTTAGTCGAAGCTCGAGGATCGGCTCCACCTTCCTCGCAAATAATCTTCTAAAGAAACACTTTGCTCGATGCTGCTTATAGAGAGAGAATCTTCCTCAACGCCCAGCAGTGCAAGGTTAAGATGGGATTGGAGATTAGATTCTGAAAAGGATTCGTCGTCCAATGCATAGGGTCCTTCCGAGGCATTAGCTTGCTGCCTGACATCGGAACCTTCTGAAGGAATTACTTGTAACCTCGCCCACTTGAGCATCTCGTTGTCACCTTGCAGGAGCTTCAGAACCTGCAATCGATAAGAATTCATAATAAGTGTTCATCTTTAGAAAGAAAATATACAGGTGCCCGTTCGTCTGCAAGTAAACAAGGATGGTATCACAAAAATTCTTCAAGCTGTTACAGTGGATCAATAATCAAGCAGCAACAGGACGTTGAAGCCTCATCAGAGAAAAACTAACATAAATGCCTGCCGAGAAAGTAATACCCAATAACATTAACTTGGACTCCGTTTTATATTTTGACAATAGGAAGATAACCAAATGTAAAACCAGTGAGGAGCCATACTTTAGTTGAAGTGGATAAAGCTGAAAAGGGTCGAAAGAATATGCATTTGGGACAATAAAACGCACATAAGCAGAGTCAACTACAAGGTATTTCTACATAGTACTGACCAGGGTCATGTGGGGCCTCGCTCGGGGTGCACGTCTGATGCATAGTGCTGCAGCTAAAACCATCCTCTCCATTTGTTCTTGATCATAATTACTATCCAAATTCGGGTCCAGTAGTTGGACGAACTTCCCAGAACTCAGAATTGGCTTTGCCTGGAACCATTAAGTATTGTGTCAAAGTTATGATCAATTAAATGGTTACAGATTGCTTCAATAAGCACACGGGACATACCCACATAACCAGGCTCTCTGGGCCCTTTGGTCGATCATTGCTGATGGGCTTTTTTCCCGACAGAAGCTCAAGAAGTACCACGCCATATGCATAGACGTCAATCTTGTAATTAACTTTGCCGTACATGAAATACTCTGGAGCTAAGTAACTGTGGTGGAATAAAACGTTACCAAACAACATTTAATAACTTCATCGCATGTTTGGTAGGGATATTCATATAGTACAAGGCGAAAAAAGGGAGCTAAAATCTTTTATAAGATCGAGTCCTATCCTATGAAGTATTGTGTACCAAGCATGCACTTAGCATATATTCCATTTTCTTTAATCTGAATAAGATTTCAAGGTGTGAATTCACTGACCCAAAAGTTCCTGCAACATCACTGCATGTTATGTGCGACGAAGTTGTTGATGCCCATTTAGCAAGTCCAAAGTCGGAAAGCTAAAAATTATAAAATAATTATAAGTCGTCAACATTTAAAAAATGAAAATGAAATCCTCATCTGATTATTAGAGCACAACCTGTGGCTCAAAATCATCACATAGTAGTATATTTGATGATTTAATGTCCCTGTGAATAACAGGTTGAGAATCTCTATTGTGAAGATAATTCAGTGCCTCGGCTACACCAACAGCCACCTTATATCTCTCGTTCCACCCAAATGTGAACGGTTGCTTTCTATTACCTGACTCAAGAATTGTGGTTGCCAGAGATTATATTAATTGGAAATCAAATTTATTTATACCAATTTATATAAAAAAAAAAATTAAGTTGATAAAGGCTCCTATAGTATAGCGTACCGTGAAGGTTCTCTTCAAGGCTTCCTCTTGATAAGTAATCATAAACCAAGAGAAGATGGTTGTCCTCAAAGCAGAATCCAAACAGCGAGATGATATTTTTGTGATGTAAAGCAGTGATAATTTCGATTTCCAAAGCAAACTCTTTTAAAGCATCTTCCGTCAGCTTTAAAATCTTGACAGCAAGCTCCTTCCCGTCAGGAAGAAGTCCTCTATAAACCTGACTGCTGCCTCCTTTGCCTATCATATTCTCTGAGATTTTCACACGAATAAATCACATAAGTCGACCAGGATACTTAAATTGAATCTCAAGATTCATCTCAAACATATATTATATATAGTCGGAAAGATAAAAACCTGGAACGAAATTGGATGTTGCAGAGACAAGTTCACTGTATTGAAACAATCTGCAGGTTGCCGAGTACTTATCGTGGAAACCCTCCAGTTCTTCTGGTAAGGGCCGTGATATGCAATCTGCTGAGGATGGAGTAGAAACAGTCTCGTGTCCAACTGGGACAATTGCTCCAGTTTCTCCATCTAGTTCAGAAGATCGATCTTTTTCACCATCAGAATCACTATTTGTTCTAGTTGAATTCTCGATCGACAAAAAGTATCTATTGGGAAGCCGCATTGCCCATTGCACCACAGAAATTTGCCTTACGGGGCAGTTAAATGAAGTTTTCCTATTCGTTACAAAGGCTCGGCGAAGAAGAGGCCAACCAGGTCTCAGTTCAGGCAATTCTCCTAACAACAATGAAATCGAACTAGATGCTGCCTCTAACTTCTGTACTGGTAATATAGCCAATGAATTCTGTCCATTGTCATCGAGTGAAGGATCGTTCTCTGATTTGGCACAGGAATTATCGGGTGCGACTGAATCGAGTGAGCAAATGGAACACTTCCCCTGAAGGGTAGTTTCAGTGTATCCAGAGACAATTAAGGCCAAATCTGATTTAGAAAAAGTATTTTGATGGCCATCGTTTAGTACTTTAACATTCTTGGTCAATGATCTCTGAATGGCCGCGAGTAAACCATTGCGACGAGGATTTTCAGTTTCTGCTCAAACAAAAGTGAATTGAAAATTTAAGGCTTCTGATAGAATTCATTATATGCTGATCCAATCATTAATGGAAATTAAGAATACCTTTCTTGCTAACACGAGATGCTGAAGAGGAATCTCTGCGAAATACAACTTTCCCATTATTGACAGCTAAAATCGAACAATCCTTGGGCAATTTCTTAGCACAGTATTTAGCAACAGAGGCAGATGACCGAATACGATGATTTCGAGCATTCCCTACTATAACGTCAGTTGCACAGTAGGAATTGACCTCTCGAACAAGAATTTTCCGAACTGAATAACCTCGGCAAATCTTTAGCTTTAGATCCACCTGCAGCATCACCGGTTAAATCCAGACTCTTTGAACTTAATTTTCACTCATAATTGATGATTCAGTCTTAGGAATTAAATTATTTTTTTATTCTTGCTAGTGGAACAAGAGAGGAGAAAATCTATAAAAGCAATAAATGGAAAATAAATGCATGTGGGCTCGACTGCATGAGAGAACAGATCCACCGACAAAGCTCATCAGATTTTTACTAAAACTATCAGTTCCAGAAAAACTGATCAACTGTTACATTTCAAGAAATTACAGGGATCCCAAATGAAATTTGACCCAGAAAAATTGAAAATTGTGAAAGAAAATTACCTGTTTCAGATTGCAGAAACCTTCATAAACTGCAAGAATGGAGTCAAATGCTTTAACAAGAGTGAGCAGAGATGATTTACCATCACGATCCACAATTTCTGCACAGCCCAAATCAATTATTTCACTAAATGAAAATTCAGACAGAAAAAATCTTTATTTTGCACATATTTTCCTGAAAATAATGATAATCAAGACTTTGTACTATGTTTGACACAGAAAATTGCAAGAAAAAAAAAATCAAATTTTAGGTTTCAATTCAAACCCATTTCACCATAGAAAAATAAAAACTAAAACAGCTCAATTTAGAATGCAGCTAATACAAAACTCTGAAGCATGCATATTTGCACAGAACCTTACCATTGTTGTTGAGAACATGAAGAGCAATGACCCGATCACCGTCCTGAGCGACTTTCATGAGAGCCCACGTCAGCAATTCCCGGCTCTGAGCATCCAACTTCATACCCACCACCACCGTCCGGCCGCCGGAGCTATCTTCTCCGGCAACCACCATCTGAGTCATTTTCTTGAACAGAAATTCAGATTTCCAAATTCCTTTTTCTTCACTGCAAATTTTGTTTCCCACCGTCGGAATTGTGAGAACCCGTTTGGAGCAAAGGGTCATATAAAGGGCTGGTCAATTGTGCAGGCCGTATAAAGTTAGTTGATTTTGGTTTGCTTTTCAAGTTTTTGCTAGCAGTAGTCAGTAGTCAGAACCAGAAAATTAGATGGGGTTGGCTCAAGTTATTATGACGAACCATGTTTTTTCAGTTTGAGGCTGGGAGAGTGGGATCCACTTGGGGCTTGCAGGTTACTTGTGCCATTTCCATCAACAAGCATCCCAGCTGCTAAAGGATGGGGATGGGTGGAATAAATTCATTGAAGGTTCACAACCTTTTATAAATACAGACCCCTCGGTACACAATTGTGTACACATGACTACACCCCCTCACATATAGGGGTCCACACAAAATAAAATATTCGTGAGCCCTATTCGTGTGAGAGTGGTGTAAAGTTGTGTGTACACCATAAGATGTACATATAGCATTTTTCTTTTTTTATTGGGCGTAGATCCCTATTTGTGAAGGACTGTTCCAGTGTATAAGTAGCAAAATTCTAAATACAATACTCATGTTCCCGACCCTTTTGTCAAGTATCAGTATCGCGAACACAATGTTAAAGTGAGGACACGAGCGCTATACTTACTAAAATTTGGAGACCATATAGGAATTTATCCAAAGCCCCTCTTTGGTTTAGCTCAAATTTTCAGATTTATATTAGATTTTGATAAAAGTTTATAAATTGTACGGTGGAAAAATTGATAAGTATTGAATTCCACGAAAGGATTGAAAATGAGTTTGGAAAAAAAAAATTCTAAAAATAGGAGCTAAAAGACCAAGAGAGGGAGGGGAATAGATTTGTTGAATTTGCCATTTTTTTTTTGTTTTAAAAGGTAATATTTATGTTATTTTTTATTTTAAAATGTCGAAAGTTTGGGTCTAATATTTAATCATCTAACTACTTTTGAAAATATCTTAATTTATCTTTCATTTGCTTTAAAACTTGAACATCACCATCAACTTGTTCTTTTCTAATTAATAATATAAAGTCACCTCAAATGATTTTTCCACATAATGGCTTTTCATAATTGTATAGTGAGAAATAAATTAAAATGGCTTTTTTTTTTATTTCATGAAGAGTTGCATGAATCACATTGCAATTATGAATTTTAATTATCTCAATTGTATCCTAATTTTTAACTCAACTGGTTTTATCATGTCTAATCATTTTTGTCAAGTAATTTTATATGGAGATTTTATGATCAAATACACGTGTGTATGTGTAGGATCGGACTGATCGATTTGATCAAAAAATTAAGATTCAATTGAAAATTCATTCCAATTTCATGTTAAAAACTAAATATTTTAAAACGTGATTTAAGATGTGAGGAACAAGCCTTCATGAGATTTTATCAGTTCAATTTTTGAAAAAGTAATTTTTCATCGGTATGACTCTCGGCTTAAAATCGATCGTCTAAACTTTTTTATCCTCACTTGATAAGAGTGAGAGTAGTGGTTGACAAATTGAAATAGTAAAAATTTGGAAATAAATTCTCTACTAGGACAAACCTTCTAGGGGATAGAATTAATTCCCTTTAATAAATAAAAGTGCAGAACATAATAAAAGCCTGATTTATAAAATTATTTAAAATAAAAAATAGAGTATGACGCAATATAAATTAATTAATAAATAAGCAAATGCCTCATATAAGGTAAGTCACTAACCGATCATAGATATATTAAATGAGACGAATCGAGCCACTTGGCTAACTTATCGTTGAGCTCAACTTGACTCGACATGCCAGCTGACTCACTTAACTGAATTATAGCTTAGCTCAGCTCAGCTCAGCTCATCTCACCCCCACGAACTCCCTCCTTAGTGGGATGACTCGACAAATTATTTCTTTTACTGAAATTGCTTTTTTCACTCACTTATTATACGAGCAGCTCGCAAAAGAAATTATTAGTTGGTTGTGGTACAAGGACTAATTATTTGTGATTTCTAAACATTTCGATCCTATAGTTGTTTGCATTCTCTATATCCCGAATCCACTAATGTCTAAATTGGAAGAACAATGTAATCCAAAATGTGGGACCTCACCTTAATTGTTAGTGTATACACGTGAAAGTTAGATTATTCAATGGTGGTCCACAATAAGTTTATGTTTTGTCGCATACTATACCCTCATGTCTCATGTGTTGGTTAGTCCAACATTAATTTGTTTGGTACAGTTCAAAATTGAATTAAAATTGAAAATATAATCGTTATTGGGTCTCACTCGTCTAATAAAAGTCAACAATAAAAAAACTATTTTTTCAATTTTAATTTTATTTTAATCTTTACCGAACACGTCCTATAAGCAAAATATTATCTTAATTCCACTTGATTAGGAGAGCATGTTTGGTTAATTATTGTATAAAAAAGTAATTGTTCTAAAAGTTGATCAGAAAAAAAGCTGTTTAGGACAGTGAATAAGCCCACGTGATTACCAAAAGTGTGTTAAGAGGAGGAATCTAGCCAGTTAAGCCACTGCACGCCTTTGTGAAATAAATAAATAAATAAATAATTACATGTTGATTATTGTACGGCTTTGGAACTACACAGAGGATGTATATGATACGTATTCAAATATAGATGTTGCAAACTGAAATGCTCTGATACCAATTTGTTGAAAACGTTACGAGATTATAAATACAATATTAAATAAAGATCACAAACTCACAAGAAAAATCTAATTTGTAGAGTAAAGGAGATTTCNTGGAACTATTTAAGCCCTAGAATTAGAGTTGTAGATAAAATAAAATGTCTAAAAGTTTACTTATCTTGATCTATTTTAAGTCCAACACAATTCCAACTCCCAATAGGGGTTCCAAATAGAACTTCAACTAGATTTTGCTAAATAAATTTCTGATAGGATTCTAAATAAAATTCCTCTTAAGTCTCAAATCTAATTAGAATTTTCAATCATCTTTAAAATATGATTCGGGTCATACTCTAATTTTAATAAACTCCACCTTGACACGAATTTCACTATAATGAGTAAATTTCAAAGATTCTCCACCTAGAGACAAATTCCACTACAAGTAATGAACTTCAACTCTTCAATAAAAAACAAAAAGAAATCCCCATCAAAATTCCCAAAACCTAAAATAAACAAAATCTCCATCAAAATTTCCAACCAAAAATATTCCCCAAAAATTCTACGACCCACCCAAGGGCAAAACTCTATACATGAGTAATAACAAAATTTTAAGAAATCCCTTAGACATCAAAGTTGCTCAAATCACAAACAATAAAATCAAACATGATTAATATTCACCAAACAAAGGTGAAACAAGCCCTATAATAGAATCACCACATAATGCTTCAACGTAAGGATTCAGGTTAGAATCAACACCTTCAACCACGAACGAAGCAAAAACAACTAAATTAGCAACATTATACTTATGTGGAGGCTTATGGTCAAAATGGGTCGGTTTCTAGCAACTGAATACAATAGCACTGTTGATAATAATGGTAAAGCGATATTACCCATAACTTCTAAACTCAATGAGATGTATTCTTCAAAAAAGATCACAAATTAGACTCAAACTATACATAATCAAACTCTAAATCCATCTGAATCCTTAAAAATGTTGATCCATCAAAGATTCTGTATAACACTGCAAGACATATAACAAAAAAAATGGCTCATTTCTTCAAGACTCCACCTAAATCAATGTACTTGTACTCTTTTTAAACAAGAGTACCAAAAGACAATAAAATTTCTCTTCAAAATTTGAATGTGTCCTAGTGCATCAAGTGTTTAACAGTCCATCAAACAACTTAATTTCAACCCGAACAATACCCGCTATCCAACAAGGTATATTATTTTTCATTACCAGAACACATTCCAAAATTATTCTATTTGTTGAAAATGAATCCCGATTGGAATACATAAGTACAAGCTGTATTAAGAATCCAATTTTCATCATGTTTGGAGTAGTAGTGGAAAAATAAGTAAAAAAGTTCTCCATTACTGTAAAAAATTTTAACAATGACTTCACGTAAAGTATTTAATTGCTTTCACTTCTGAAAAGTTGCAGTCAAATTTTCTCTATTTTACAACTTATAGCAATACTTAATTAAATGCCTCAAATTCTTTCAATAAATTTTGAAGTTAGACCTTAATTTGCCCCTTGCACGACCATCATCAAGAACAATCTCAATTCTATGAGCCTTAGTATCAACGAGATGCTTCATCTTCTCATTTGAATATAAAGCATCATAAACTTTTTCAATGATGAGATCACGACTGTATAAGATCGTATCTTTAAACAACAAATATGAAGCGGGCAAAAACACAACAACGTCAATCCTATATAAGTGAGCACTACTCGCCTCATAATCTGTTACAACAAAAATCTTGTACTACAATCCAATAGTGAAACATCAAGACTTCATGGTTATCATCACAAAAGGTCAAGCTAAGCTTTTTAATTTGATCAAAATCTCAATATTTCAAGCCTTTGGCTCTGATACTAGTTTGTTGTAAACTGAAATGCTCTGATACCAGTTTATTAAAGACGATAGGAGATTATCAACACAATATGAGATAAATATCACAAACTCACAAGAAAAATCTAATTTGCAAAATAAATGAGATTTCATTAAAATATGGAGAAATAATATAAATATTTATATTTACAATTTGTCCGACTAATAATGGGGATAAAAAAACCTCCAATAAGATTAAAACAACCTATAATGAGGTTAACAACCCATGATGGGGGTAAAATCAGCCCAATTAAATTGTAGAGAATAGTCAAATATATATAGGAAACAATCCAAGAACTAGAAGTAGAGTTGTAAATGAAATAAAATACTCAAAAAATTTCTTATCTCGATCTCTTCAAATCCAACACAAATTTTAACTTCCAAATAGATTTCGAATAGGAATCCAAAAGCATTCCAAATATAATTCTTATTAAATCGCGAATTTAATTATAATTCTTAATTATTTTTACAATAGAATTCGAGTCACATCCTAATTCTAATAATAGATATGAAAATAACAATTTTCATAGGAATCTATATATTAAGCTTGTATAAGGAGTGATTTAATTCAATATTAAAATAAATCAATTGAAGGGAACAAATCTGGCGACTTGTTAATTAGCTCGACTAGCAATCAATCAATCATTGTAGTGTTTTTTGTCGCAACATATATTTTGTGTCATTGCTTGTCGACCTGCTTGAGTAGATTCGAGTGCGTGAAGAGCACAATTACCGAAACCATATGGGATGCGTGTTTTCATACAACATTATTAGTGAAAATTAAATAGTTTCATAACATGTGACTAGAACACATTAGGCCATATAGTGAAAAAGTAAATAGTTTCATAACACGTGATTAGAGCATCTTTTCGCTTCGCCAAAATAAATAATTACTTATAAGTAACTTTTCAACTTCAAACTTATTTTGATAAATTAGTCTATTTTAAAAATATTAATTTTTATCTTACTGCTTAAGTAACTTACTTATTTTCAATTTTCACGAATAAAAAATTATGAATTCAACTAGTACTAATTCATACAAAGTCATCGAATCCCCTAGCCAGCAATCAGAGCTGTATAACCGATCGCAAATGCTCATCAAATTTACGAGGTGAGTATCAACTATAACATGCCATGTTAGTAAAATCTCATCCCTCTCAAATTCGATTCTTAACCAAAAAAAAAAAAATGCTTTATGCCAAAAGTTGGTAAATTCACCAAAATTAACTTTACTAGGGCAGTTATGCAATTTGGTACTATCCATGGCCAAGTTAGTTAACAAGTTAATTTTTTTTATGGTCTCAAGTCATTAACCAAAAATGACAGATTAGCTGAAAAAATAAATTGTCATTATTGAAATAAAAGTATAAGCTTTAACTGACTGAAAATGAAAACTCAACACTATGTTGCATCCTTGGAAATAATCTACGCCGTCTCCTCTTTTGTAACAACCTAACTTAAAACAAAATAATAATATGTCGTTCAACTTTTAACTACAAAAAATGTTGTCACATTAATTGGTTGAAGTGACATTGTTATTTATTGGTTCTTGGTAACATGACAACAACACTTTATTGTTCAATGTAAAAGGTAGGTAGGTGCATCTCTTCTTTACATCCTCGTGAATTTGGGATATTTTCAAAGAGATTTTTACGGTAATTACGACTCTTCTTGTTTTGTAGTCAAATTATGAAAGTAGAGGTCTCAATCGGGTTGAGCAAGCATAGCATGATTTGTAACGGTACAAGTCGAACAAATCATTTATTATTTCGAACAACTAGCGATACTGTGATAATTCATACCATCTATAAAAAGAGGTAGCAGAAGGTAACATATATAGCAGAAGGTAACAATTTTTTTACTACAAGGATTTAATTATTATTACTATTATTATGAATTGATTACCTAAATTCTTTCGTGGAGATTTGGTTTAATAGGCTGCAGACGAAATGCTAAAGGCATTTGATTGTACAAATCATTCATCTCTCTCACATTGCCATCCACTGCTGCTATACTTTGTTGCTGTCATAAATCCAAAGAAATAATTATTGAAAAACCTATATGTTAATATTTATCATTAATTCAGAGGGTGTTTGGTAGAGATTAAAATCGGATTAAAATTGAAAAACTAGCCGTTATTGTTGACTTTTATTAGATGAGTGGACCCAATAACGGCTATATTTTCAATTTTAATTGGATTTTGAGCCGTACCAAACAGGCCATCATTATTATTTTCGTTATTTCTCGATAGTTTGAAGGGATTTGAAGTATGATAATCCCGCCTTTCAATATTTTTTAAATACGCATATCTCGTTAAGTTCAACATATAATGCACGCGGATTTCAATTATGTACTTAACGTTATGAGAAATTATAAAAAAAATTTAGTCGATGCCAATTCGTGAAAACTAATGAGGATTTGCACTCTCTCAATCATATACATACTGAATTTATTGATGAACATACCAGTTCATACTGAAGCTGATTGTTCTCCTCCTCCAGCTTTTTCTCCTGAACCATTAAGCGAACATATTGTTATTTACTTGTTTTCAATGAGAAAACGCACATTAATTAGAGATAAATTTACACATACATTTTTCCTTTGCATCTTGACATACTCCATCTGTCACAGTAACAGTGTAAAATGAAGATCAAAAACTCGAATGGTTCTCAGGACAAATCAGTATAATAGGTAAATTGATTAAGAGGTTGTTTGCGGTTTTGATTTTGCTTATGCATCTTGTAGAAAATCTTCCTCTAAAAGCTCTCCTAAAAAATTATCCAAAGATGTTCAAAAGCAGTTTCTTAATCCCAACGGTAACTGTTTGGTTTTTCAAAAGACCTG